TATAATTATAGAATTAAAAAACTTGTATTTTTTAATATATATTTAATTATGATAAATTTTTTTATAATTAATAAACTAATTAATATAATTAATCAATTTAAAAAATTAATATACATAATATATATAAATAAAACACTAAATCTACCATTAATTTTTAAAAATATTCATTTGATTATCATAGGGTGATGTTTTTAAATTTAAAACTTCAATTTTTTACGAGAAATTTCTCAATATGTACTGTACGAGTACAAATTAAAAGTGGAAGTCATTTTTTTATTTTAACTTCTAAAAATTATATTTTGAAAAAAAAAAAAAAAGAGTCATTTATATCGGCGTCACCCAAGATGAACTGCACATTTGCGCTAAAAAGAATGTGATGGCGATTGGGGGCTAAGCCAAGTCGCCTACGGTTATTGGGACCCACTTCGTTCCTATCCAGAAAATAAGAAACAAAAAATTGATTTTACGGATTTATTTTTAGTTTTTTTTTTTAATATCTGCACGTGAATCCTTGTCGGCTTTTTTTTTTTATGGTATTACTTGTATTTTTTTAACATAAATTTTACTATAAGATTTGCGTAGAGCTGATTTTTTTTTTTTAAGTTGCCTAAATTTTTTTTAATTATTAATATTTTTAAAATTTAATTGTTAATTAAATATTTTATTCATATAAATTATATACTAATATTAAATTAATTTAATATTTATGATTTTTTATTAAAAAATATTATTTATTGATATATATTTAATAGTATTAATTTTTATATAATTAACAAAATTAAATAGATATATCAAATCAATCTTAAAATTGACATTGATTACATGAATTAAACATTTAATTCAGTGGTTGATTTTTAAAAAATTAATTAAAATATAACTATTTTTAAGATATATCTTTAAAAGAAAAAACGTTCTGCAAATTCCTTTTTTCAAATAAAGGGTCATTTAGTATTTCGGACACAATCATAAAATTTATGGTCATAAGTTATAGTCATTTTATTTGTATTTTAAAAAAGCATCGAGTCAAATTTAAAAAAAAAAATAGGACAATTAAATTATATTTGATTTAGTATTTTGGATTGAAAACGTGACCTTATTTTAGAAATATTTTTTTTATTTATTTTATAAGTATTGACATTAATTTCATTAATAGTATCATAATTTTTGTTGAGTAATTTTATTTAATTAAATAAATTTTAATTTATAATAATTTATTATATCAAAATATCGAGTTAACTATAATAAAATTATTTGAAGTAAATATTCTCAATGAATCCACCTTAAGAAAAATTTTATTAAAGATATTTAATAATTTTATGGGTATTTTTGCACTTTTTTTTGCATATAAACCTGAAAAATAATTTTTTAATATTTCAAAATCAAATAAAAACAATTAAATTAAATAAGAAGTGATTAAAAAAAAGAAAACTTATTTATAAAATATGTTGACCCAAAAATCAGTTTTTTAAATAAGAGTAGAGTTGACTGAATTATTGCATTTTCTCCATTGCCAATTGTTCTTTGAAAATGTTGGCCAATATATATATATATATATATATA